TATCTTTATCAAGGCGTATAAGGTAGGCTTCCACTACAATGCCTTACTGATGAGTCCAGTAGTGGAAGCCGGGACGAAACGCCAAAAATTACGTGATATTCTTCGCAATATATTAGAATAAATTATCAGAGTTATTTAGATTTTAAATGTAATTTGACTCTTACTTCGCCCTTGTTTAACAAGATTATTAAAATTAAATTGTTTAAATTAAACACTAAAATGTAAAGATCTTGCAAAAAAAAAAAAGCCGGTATACTAGGATTATATTCCAGAACATCCCTTTCAAGGAAACTCAATACACACAAAACCCGTAACAATACGTTACAGGTACATTATTTTGGAATGTAGCCCATTGTATTTATCTATTGCGAAAGAAATACACAAGAGCGAGGCGCTGACGCAACGTTTTGCTCTTGTGCGTTTCTTCTAAGGATGGGTTCTCATGAAGCGACCAATGGCGTTGCCCGATTTGTACACAATAAATAAACTGGAATAAACGTCCCGTTCGTTCTACCTTTCTACGACGTGCCAGCATACGTTAACAGTAGAAAATAGTTCGTTGATCCGACAACTCGTTTACTAGTCGCGTTCAACGATTATCTTTTTTTTTCTATTTCATTATTGATCGACAGAGTGGACTTGGTTTGATAATGAGACAGTTTTGAGGCGAGACTCATGGACATAACTTGTAAGAGGTGAGCGGCAGGATGTTACGTATTGTCACACGCTGACGAGAGTTAAAAGCCGACGCAATCGCGATTTGTTTTGACCCCCTCCTCGGCGATTGACGTATCGCGGATATGTCGTCCCGATGGGCACCACTTTTTCGGTGCCACATCTGTGTGTTCCCGTAGCCCCCGTTTCGAGACGCTAACGAGCTCGGTCGTCATACTCCTTTCCTCGAGAATGGGTCGCGAATTAATCGCGTCACGGATTATCCGGCAGGGATCCACGCCGTAGAAACAATACTTAATCAGATGTGAATAAGCAAGTCGTGAATACTTAATTAAGCGTATTTCTCGTACAGAGTCGCGGAATCGACGTCGCCAATTAATTACCGAATCAATTATCGTAATTGAGAAATGCACGCGTGTCGCGCATCAAAAAGCGAGATGCGGGTCGCAAAGCTGTAATTCTGCGTATTTTAGTGTTTGTAAAAGACATGATTTTACGCGATAAAAGAAAGAACCAGTCGCCATGTAAATTCGCGTCGCGTACTGATATCATGCATGATATAATTACATGCGATTACCGACATGCGGGATCAGTCAGGTAAAAGATAACATTTGCTTGATATTTTGTTTTACAGTAAAAAACGCGTCCTTCAAATGGAGCGTGTTCTGAAAGCTGTACCGGCGGATTTAAGAGTAAAAATGGAGGCTCTTGTGCACGATTTGACTCTGGCACTAGAGGAGAGCAGCAACAGTGCGAATCTCAGACGCAGATGGGGCATCAGGAGGAGAGCCCGTTCCACGGGGAATATTCGTAAGTGTAAGGGAAAACAATTCGATGTAACATTCAAGCTGGTTCTTTTCAGCTGAACTTCATGACTGCAGTCCCATTCGCGTTCGCAACGCTCATACCATCATTTGTCCTTAGGTCTGTTTGTTATACCTGTACCAAATTGCATTAGTTTAGCGCTTATTCTGAGGCAAGCCTGTTACTACTAATGTAGTTTAATTTTAATCTCCGATTCAACTAATTCGTATATTTTTCTTATTCTAAGAACTGTGGCTGGTATCATACTCGATTCTTATATTTGAGATTCTTAAGTTACAATCTCAAGATGACATAAACCAATCAGAGGATAGTAATCATAGTTTGTTCTTATTTTAAGACAGTCTTAACTTTTAAATAATGTCTTAAGATGCTAATGCACACACAGCCTTCTGATTGACTTGACATCTCAACACCATATTTAAGACAGTTTCAAAAATAAAATGACTACGAATCCTGGCCAAAGAGCCATATTATTAGCATCTTAAAACATTACTTAACCCTTAGATACTTAAATTAGACTACCAATCAAGTTAACAATATATAATAACAGCGATAAAAGTTTTCAGTACTATTTTTTGAACTGTCTAGAACATTTTAAAAACATTTACGACACTAAATTTCAAAGAAAAGTCTGGGGGATCTTAAATTAACCCAGTTCATTAGTAGGTTTCATTAGCTTACATATCTAAAAGTTAAATTAAGATTAAAATTAATCTACACTGATAGAAATAGATATAAGAATATAAAAAAATAAAAAGGTACAATGGAGAAAACTTGAATTTGAGGATAATAATGCAAAAATAAAGAATGGCAAAGAACTTCCTTGCTTTTAAATATCAAACATGTACTTTTTTCGCTTTAAGTTCCAAAAGTGTATATTATAGTTATAGAAAACAGATTCTAGTTTAATATTTTATAAGTAACAAGAATCAATTTATTCCAAGAGTATTGTAAGCGTGAATCAAATTGTAGTTCATTCATCATTCATATTAGAGGAAAAAAGGAAGAGATGAATACGCAGAAATTCATCTGAAAAGAACAGACCTATTAAAAACTTCAAATTTAACATTTCATTAAATTGAAAATAACAACATATATGTTTTAAGCATCCTAATTGCACCTATGCAACAATTAATTGCAGTTTACTTCTGCGAGGCGCATAGTCAGCATTATTATCAAGATTGTCTGTGTAGAAACAAATTTCTGCAGCATGCAAACGTTAAATATTAATCGCATGTAATCATCGAGAATTAAAAGTAACTTATTGAGATATCAAGTAATATTGAATAATTAATGTATCAATATTTTTGCAGCGGCTTTAAGCATGAACAAACATTCGGATGACAGCTCATCTTCAATTTGCGAAATTCGCATTCCAAAAACTGCCAATGTTTCGAAATATCAGTCCGATAGTGACGATCCTAATCAGACCAAACGTTTCGCACATTTTCCAAACTTAAACAACATTAGTAATATCGAGAGCGACTCGGTAAATGAAAATTTTGTGCCAAGAGCGAATACCAGACGCAAAAGGAAGTTTAAAAGAATGGCAATTGATTCCGACTCTAACGCGTCCACTTCTCAAGCAGTGGCAATTATGTCGACTTCAACATTCGGCGGAAAAAAACGTATCTTTCGAAACGATTGTAAAAATAGATACAGCGCTATATGGTAAGGAAATAATTTCCAATTATTTATTTTCTATTCGCAATAAGAAACGATGTGTAGTTTTACCTAGTTTTGCATTCCAGGTGCGGAAAACGTAAGAGATCGTGTAGGGAGCGCTCGATAGATTGTGAAATGAGAGTATCTAAACCAACCAAAAATGCAAAACCGAAAAATCGGGATAAAATGCAAGGCGAAGACACGGTGGATTGTTCCCGTATATCTAGTTCCAGTATTTCGTCCAGTGATTCGGAGGAAGGTCTTATTACAAATGATGAAGATAGAGAAGGTACGATGAACGTGAAAGCAGTATTGTAGGCTCTGTTCCATCATATATGAGATTAAGTTTAATCTCGGTTCAATTTACTATGTATCGTTTTCTAAGAATTGTACACCGAAGTAGATCAACTTTAATCTTGATTTAACTTATTTTTCATCTTTTCCTAATTCTAAGAATTAAAAAAGGATGAAAATAAATTCTGGAACTGGGCCTGAGTATATAAGATAATCACGCAGTATACACATTAAAAATTATATATCTAATTCTTGCAGGAGACGACGAACAGTCGGATTGGATCGGAGATTCCAGTTGGCGGGACGATGGAGAGAGCACCAGCGACGACAAAGCCACATCAGATTCGACCCTCCAAATAATATTGCACGGCGAACATTCGGTTGCGGAGGCTAAGAAAAATTATAGAATACAACGTATTCGCGAAAGCCTCAGCGGTAGAGAGATCCGTGCTGGACGACGTCACGTTGATAACAAGCCCGGTTATTCCATTATAACATCCGCCAATGAGAAAGTATCTCGATTCCTGCAAGATCCCACACAGAGCGAGTTGAAACTCCATCCTATGCGACAACCCGAGCGAGAGAAGCTACGTCGACTCGCCAATTTGTATAGTTTAAGTATGAAGGGCGATCAAGGCTGTCCAATACTGTATAAAACGCGACATACCACACAAGCTGTATGCGTAGATCAAGTATCATTGAACAGATTCTCAGACTACAAAAGATTGCGTAAAACACCGCCGAATTCACCGAACTCCGATTCTACGATGCAAACTGAGGAGCCTCAGATCTCTAGCACGAGTTTCAGCCCACAAATTATAAATCAAGCGCAAAACAATATTGGTTCTGTACAAGCAAATGTACAAACATTTTCTTCGTTTGAATGGGAAAGCGAAAATATGGACATTGAAGTACAAGAAAAGCCGAGGTTTCCTGATTTTGGACATTCCAAATCTAGTTAGAAACATACATATAAGTACATATTCATTGTTATTGTTTCTTCTAAACAATGTGTATATGATGTATATGTATATGCAAGTTTTCTGTATAAACTCTGTTTTATATTAGAATTTAATATTAATGTTAATATTCATACTTACCATATGACACAAAGAGATTCTACAAGAAATGTAATATAAATAGGTATTTTACTGCTTTTAATTAATAAATTTTATAATTCATATATCATCGTGAATTACTATTGTAAAAATTGTAATATTTATATGCAACTGTTATAAACTGGAATGAACTATAGTATGTGTAGGACTAATGACACAGGATCAAATTCACTTCCATACTCGTATTTAAAAAAAACAAGTTTACTTATCTTTTAACATGTACATTAACTCCATCGCTTTCATAATTTACATGTTTAACATTTTATATTACAATTATATTATAGTAAATAATCATTTACTGTACAATATTTTTTAATTTTAAAATAAAACATTTTCAGCTTAAACAAGTATCTATTAGATATTGAATAAGATTACTCTCTATCAGATAGAAAGGTATTTAAGAAACTTACAATGTATGTTGTGATCTTATGATATTACAATACGAAGATTCGGATAGGATGTTCACGATACAATCTTACATTTTTATTAGTTAAGTCAATTTGCCTGACCTTGTTTTTTAGCTGCCAGAATATTTTCATTGGCAGTTATTTGGAACTCTTGGAAACGTTGTGATACCCTCTGATTCATCTTCAGATATTTTTCCATGCAGTTGAGAGCACATTTCTCTTCTTTGGCTCTGATATCTCGCGTCGTGAAGTCCGTTATGCAGTCGATAAAGCAAATTTCGGAGAGCTTATTGTACGAAGTCAAGAAGTCTCGAAACTGAGGAACAAATATATTCAGGTTAAATATAGTAGTTTATCGTTTCATTGAAGGCGCATACAACTCGCATAACGCAGGTATATACTTTTAAGTACACCTATTCCGCTTTTAGAGTAACAAAACTATCGTTTAAGAATTTGTACTAGAAATACATACAGATTTAATCTGATCGGCATCCACGTCAGTCGGGACTTGCATCGCCATTGTTAAAGCTTTAATATCTTCGTTAAAATATCTTTCTCAGCTTTTCTGCTACTTTGTGATTTGAGGTTAGGACAAACACGTGCGCATGATATATGTATACAGTTACGGTGCAGGTGTTTTAGGAACGCTGAAAAATATAACAGTGACGGAAAGAAATATAAAAGTGACCTTTTAATTCCCGCGTACTCTCCACTATACTCCAAGAGATGCTTTTATTCTTCATTTCTATTATGGGCCTTCTACAATAAGCCATAAGTCGTAAATCGGAAGTAAGAAACTAATAATTGACGACTGTGATTGGTCCATTTCTAGCTTATGACTTATGATTTGTGACTTACGGCTTATTGTAGAAGGCCCATTAATAGATATTCAATACTTCAATTGCAAAACAAAACAACGACTTCAGTCTTTTCTTTTTCTTACGCATTCATTGGCTCCTATTGGCGCGTTCTTAAACTATTCGCAAGATCGAAGATTGTCGAAGATCGTTTCGATTCTTGCAGTTGGCAACCGTAGAAGTTTTGTGTTGACAACGCGACCGTTTGAATGATATTTTAAACCGCCGTCAGAATGATCGTCTGACAATAGCTGTGCGATTTCCTCGACATTATTCACATAGATATCGCTCGCCGATTCGACATTTTTCAACGCGTACATTGGTAATCGAAAACGCTGGCTGACGTTCCGTCACTTTCAAACGTCTTATCGATCGCATCAGCTATTCGAACGGGTGGGGGAGAGGAGCGAAAACGATCGGGACTCGTATATGCGCGCGAGTTTCGGATCCAGCTGCTGCCGAGCCGCAGCTGCATTTAAAAGGTGAGTTCGCGGAGAAATTTTTCAGCGGGAACCGAACGCGCGGTGAAAGTCAAACGCCCAGGAGCTAATTAAAAACGATCGTTTTAATCGCCGTTTCTGGAAGAAATCGGCGGATGTCCCTATGACAGGAAACGGGCGGCAGATGCAACGATACCGATGCCGGATATCGAGGTGCGAAAAAGGTCCGCTATATTGGCTACGTTCAGCAAAACAAGCAGCTTTGCGACTGTTGTAAGATTTGTTTAATGCGATCGGTTTGTAGGCCCGACTTTTGCATCGACGCTTTACTTTGACTTTAAGCGGACTTAAACTTTCTCTACTTAAAAGAGAGAGAGATAAAGAGAGTTTTAAGTTTCGCTTAAAGTCAAAGTAATGTTGATGCAATCACCTTATACATTTAATTTCAGTCAGAAATTAAGAACAAGAGATGTCCAATTATATTGAAAAATTTCGCAAATAAGTTACTTTTTCTGTTGAATGCAGTCATTACTTTCCGAATGACGAACGATGTTATCGAGCTACGTTAGACCTTCTGTTTTAGTTGAACTTTTTGCACAGTTCATCTTTTTTTTTTCTTTTCACTTGAAGAGAAAACGAGAAGAGATGAGCAGTGCGAGAAGTTCAACTACAAAATTACAGACCTCTGTTGCGATTCGTACTGACACCTCACTTTTATCGACAAATGTGCGAATTTAACCCTAATTTACAAATATATATATATATACTGTAGAATCTCAGAAATAAATGTGTGGATTTATCGATAAAAACAAGGTGTGAAAATACCTATATTAACAAAGAAGGTAGTGTTGCCCCATAAAAGAGAAGTTTTCTCGAGAGAAATCATTTTTAAAAAATTACGATTTTCTACGTGATATATTTTTATGTATGTACATATTTTGCACAATTTAAATTTACGTTCGGCGCCAATTATATATGTACAATAAATTAAATAGATCTAATTTATAAATACGAAATTAATAATAAGTAGATGACATCGTGCCGAATTTTAACAAATTTATAGAGACACGTAGGTGGATCGTTTGGAGCGGATTTTCACGCACGCGCGAGCTTTCGGTTCTATCTTTCTGTGATCCTTCTGTGACTGCAAACCCAAAGTTCAATGGAAAATCTTGCGCGTCAATTGGAGGGAGCCGGGGGGGGGGGGGGGGG